AAAAAAATATCTGCTTTATTTCAGTTAATCTAAAAGCAGTTTTTCTCAACCAATCCCGTTATTAAATAATACAAGACTGGACATCTTACAGTAATTTATATATTACTGTCATATTGTTAGGGTTAAGATCTTTTATCATTTAACATTTTCGATATGCTAATGATAATTCGTCGGTTCACAGCGCAGGATAGGATGACAAATTATACATACCAGCAATGTCTTCAAAAAATTATTTATTGAAGTTATTACTATAGACATAAATCACAAAGCAGTTGACTGCACAGACAAAAGAACAAAAAGAAAAAAAACGTGACCGAAACGAACAAAACGGGGATATTAATATTAAAAAACGGGACGAAACGAGATCTCGCACTCTTCTCGCGATCACTATCGTTGAGGAGTTGTTAATAAACACGGACGTCTAACACATATAACTTTAGATTTTAAAATCAGACAGATTAGTTATATAAAACATATATGTTTGTAAATTTAGATATTAAATTTAAGCATTAATTATTATAAGCATTTAATCTGAACTTTAAAGTAACTCAATTACTATTTATTATTTCATTTGTTCAATTTATACGAAGTTAAAATCGAGAAATAAATCGTCGTCGTCGTCAAATATTAACTTGGAATTTGGATATACTGTAGAACGTTACGAAGTTTCGGAAGCGTAACTAGGCAAAGTTGTCAAACTGTAGACCGCAAGCTGTTCCACGTGACAAAAGAGTTAATCACGTGTTAATAAGTCATTTGCTCTATCACGTGATTAGTGCAAACAGAACGGATTTTTCTGCCAGAAGAAAAGCTACACAGAAACGCGTCAGAGACCTTGTCACGTGACCGAGTGACGTCGATATCGGGTCACGTGACACAATTTCTGTGCGGATCGCCCGAAAAAATGTTATGCGTTTTCTGAATGTATATTAAATATACATTCTTTTAATATAATCTAATTTAAAACATTAATAGTCCCTTAGACTGCATAATTACCATTAAAATATATTAATGATTTTAATATAAGTAAAATTTTAAAAAAGAAGTGGTAATATTGCTCAATTTCTGCAATTTATATAGTATGAATATCTACCAATTAATTAAAGAAACAAATTATATATTATAACAAACTGAATGTCTATGAAACATCATAGCTACATGTAGAATTTACGTACATGTAAAAATGTACGTAAAATGGCAGCCCTGTCGATTCGATTGTTGGCTAAACAAAGAACCGTTGAAGAATTTACTAGAATCAAAATTAACATTATTTACGATAATAGTAATGAACTAATACGTTAATATAACATAGAATTAATAGTATACAATCAATTAATAATTAACTAAACATAAAATTTAATTACATTAGATTAAATTGCAATTAATTTACAGATCATTAATTAACGTAAACAAAACAACACGAATTTTTTTAAGAAAATAAAACAGAATATAAGCAGATAAATAATATACCAAACAAAAGTACACATACTTTCATATTTGAATTCTTTGTTTTCATATTTTTAATACAAAAATTTGATTTTATGCGAATGTTTTTACCGAATATATGTACATTTAGGCCAATGACCTTGGATTTTCTTCCGAGTATGGCTATACGTCCAGTGTCGGCATTCGTTGAAAAACAATGCGTTAATCCCGAGAACGGTGTTAGATAGACAAAAGCGCCGAGACTAAACATGGAAACCTTAGGTGCAAGAGGTCCCGACTAACTATATAAGAACTTCCGATGCAAATCGAAAGTTACGTTATATTTTAATTCAAAAATTTTTTATCGATAGGTGTTAGATAGATGACCGGCGCCACTCCATTGCTAACGAAAAAGTATGATGTACGGGACAAGCCACTACTAATTTGAGGTGGAGAGCATATAGTTTAAATTAAACAAATTAAAATTACGATTAAAAACTGCAGCCGGGCGTTGTGACCGCGTCACAGTAAATAATTGCTCGTTATTATTGTAATCGTACTGATGCCAAGCTTGCAATGGTATTTTTTGTTGATAGAAAAGTTTAAACATATTACTTTTATTAAATTTGTATTATTTGTTTAGCTTTAAAGTTTTAGACTTTGCGCAAGGATATTTAAACAAATTAAACGAACATGTTTTAAATAAAATAAATGTAAAAAACCAAATTGAAAAAGACGAATGAGCGATAAAGCAAGAGGATGATGGAAAAAGACATATGGTAAATCGAAATTATATGATATATTACGTGCTAGATGATTTCTGCTTGCGTGCCACTTTGGGTACGCGTGTTATAGGTTCGCCCTCCTGCTCTAAACCATTGATATATATAAGCCCCAGTCTTTCAAGTGATAATATACTTGAAGTCGTTATATAAAGATTTTCAAGAAATAACTAACAGGAAGAAATTCAACTTAAACATAAGAAAAAACCTCTCAGCCAGATCTTTAAAGTCAAAACGTTTTAACTGAAAAATTTAACAATTCTGCAGATCAAAGACTTTTCTCCTGCCTACTTAAAATTTAAAGAACGAAAAAAATTTAACGATAATCGACATACACCAAAAAAGAGGAAAAACGTAGGAAGAGGGGGAAGTAAATTTTCCGAAGGGATTTTCACTACAACGAATTTTGACTACAGCATGCTTTTCTGCGTAAGTGCGGTGAAAATTTTTTCTCAGTTATTGTTGCATTTGTATTCTTTTTTCATTTTTATTTGTTTGCTGATTTTTAGATGCTTTTTATTCCTCTATTGTTTATGTTTTTGTATATTCGTGACACCCGAAAAAGGCCAAATGGCCACAGTGTCTTTTGAGATTAAAGATATATATTAATATATATATGCATTAATTAATTTCTTTATATTTTAAATGCTTCTTTAAATGACCGCGATGCACCGGGACATCCAAATTGGCTTTATATATTTCACAAAACATTTCGCGTTTTCGCCAAGATTACATTTATTTACTTTTATTTCTTTTCAGCTTCTGTTTAATGTTGCAGATGTCACGCTAAATTGTGAAATTTCGTAATTTTTAATGAAATTTCACGATTTTTTGAACAGAAAAACAAAAATTTGATATCCCATAAAATATTTCGTTTTTACTTACAATACTCGCTATCATTTATGTCTTTAACGAGCCACGAGAAAGATACAGTATATGCTTAAAAGCAGTTCGGTCTCCGAAGGACACTTCAAATAAACTGCCGACAATCAACAAAGTTCATTCGAGCCCGATTCCGAATAAAATATTTGTGCTTAATGTGTACATTTTACATCGCGTTTTCAAAAGAATTTTATTTCCCATTTTACACATTTTCTTTCAATTGAAACGTTTTTGATCAGAGAATTTCATGTAAATTTGTATTTGACAAAAAGTTCATTTGTTTAGCCATCAAATTAAGCAAATTCACACGCGTATTGGCGCAATCGCGAAAGGGACAAGGGACGAACGCTTTCCCTAAAAAAATTCAAAAATGATAAAGAAATGGTAAAGGAATCAACGACTGCGTTCGGCAGACTCAACAGTTGCGGAGCTGTTGAGTATTTTTATGCCGAATGCCCTGTCTTCTACAGTAGCGTTCTCTTCATGTTTTGACGTCTTACATTTACGCTATCTATCGCAATCTTAAACTGACTAATGAGGCTGTTTGTTCCAACGCATACGTCAGTCATCGATAGGCAGATCCAGGTTGTTACGTAATAGCTACCGGTTTGCTCAGTTACAACTGTCGAGTCCGCCGAAGCATCCAATATAATTGCCAAGAATAAAAAAATGAAAATAGTATTATAAAAATACTCAACAACGAGTTAGATAACTTTCCCGGCAAACAAATTAAAAATTAAATATTTTATTTAAAAATTTTTTTTAAACTACTAGCATCGATGCCCCTTATACGCGAGCTTTAGTGTTAAATTTCGTTTTTTAATCTTTACCTCAGGCCGAAATATTAAACGAAATAGATTCCACACAAACACACCTAAACACACATCTACTGAATTATTTACGTTTTTTTAAATTTTTTTTTTGGGCTCGGGATGTCTCAAAACGTGGAGAGATTTGCAGAAAAAACCCGTAAGTTTAAATTTGACACGATTTCAATACTTTCTCGTGTTACGTACATCATCAGCCAAGAAAATAAAAAATAAACGATTTTATTATAAATTTTATAGTGATAAATCGACAATAGTTTTTATTCTTCGTTTGTAGTTTACGGTTACGCCACCGGGGGGCAGCTCGTTGTTTTTTACGATTTTTTCGGCTTCTCGTCCGGCAACACTGCTGCTCGTCCAGACGACGTTCTCGAAATCGCTACGACTATTTATTTCTAAGCATTTCAAAGTATTCGAAAGGAAAGAAAAGGTTAGTAAATTCGTGAGTTGTTTGATGTACGTAATAAATAATAAGCACAGTTCCACAAAGAAGTAACGTCCAAGTATTAATTCGTATTTTATCAACTTTAGGTGAAGTCGTCCTTATAAAGTAAGAAATATTATCACTTTTATCTTTCCAATCTGTGTTTTACGAATATGCTATGGTTTATTTATGTGCACTTATTATTGACAAATTGTTATATGTAAACTGCGCAAGGCACGTGGTCTGCGGTTTCAGAAACACGAGGAAAAGAACAAAGGGGAGGACAATGAATAGTCGGTGGACACGTGTAACTAGACAAACAAAGGTTTATTTTAGTTGAAAAACGCGGTACAATATTAATCTCAAGATACAGTTCAGTTCCGGACACAGATAGTGTAACAATGACAATTTTTCCTGGTATTCCCCTTCTTCTTCTTCTTCTTTGTTAATATGGAGATTTTAGCTCTTTCTAGGCTCTTTCTCCGAATTCCCCACTCTCAGGTTCCCTTACTTAAATCGTCCAGTTCGTGCGATGTATGCTTCTAACGCCATCACTAGATGGCGGGGTGTGGTCTGTGTCGTCGGCGCATATACTTCCCACAAAGTACTCGTTTCTGTCAGTCTGACACCCAGGGCAGTTCCCAGGTCACTGCGAGCATTTGCATATTCCGGACATTCTAGCCAGAAGTGCGCTGCTGTTTCCCTTTTCTTACAGTGAGGGCAGTGAGGCGTATCGTGCAGCCGTCTGGAGTGTAAAAAATCATTCAAAGGGGCCGTCTCCGTACGCAAGCGTGCAAGAATAGTCTCCATGTATCTGTTCGACGCGTAGTTATAGTGCCAGTTGATAAACGGACAAAGATAATCCCTGCTCTTTCTCCTCAAGTCTGCTGTCCAACGCTGGTATTCCCCTTTCCGATATTCTTCCTCGTGCGAGGCCCTGCTTTTTCCCGACAAGTAATATAGATCCGACGGAAATAAAAAATTTTCGCAAATAAACTTTGGAAATACAGAGTACCTAAGGGACTTGCTGATTTCTTCCGTAACGGTACTATCGTTGACTTTGGTGGAAATAATTTACTTTTCGCGCCGCAACTTCTTGAACTCTGTCAACGGTCGACTCCTTTCTCGGTTGCGTGTTTTCTCTTCTTCCGTCCACGGCATACTCGCTCGAAGAGGAAAACCAAAAAGTCCTTTCTTGTCCGTTACATATGCATTTATATCTTCCTCCAACTACGTCGCTGTCCCACGTGATCCTGCCACGGACTGATGTGAAGTCGGAAAACCCCGCCGTCGGCTAACAGGTGGTATCGAGGAAGGAAACGGAAAGGAACGGTACAAACATACGTGTGACGTGCCGTAAACGAAAAACAAAACAAAAAATTATGTAATACAATAATAGCCACGAAGTGCTACATATATGTGTATTGATGTGTGACCGGGAGTGTATGAAAACATAAATGTATAGGGATATAATAATAGGTATAAGCTTATATACGGTAGACTCTCCACTTACGAAGAATGGGTGATAGAAGTGCATCTAGGTAGTCCCTGTACTTTCGATACTATGGATTATTTAGCCCATGTGACCGTGCCGGCTTTGAGTGGTCCTCTTGGCCGTTCGTGGAGTACTCGATGCTATGTAGTTCTAGAGGGTGTGGGAGCTGGTCCCCGCCTGGGCAAGCATCCGTGTTCTTCGCATGTAGACTAGGCGATAGACTGATACTTGTTAAAAACTGACTTTCGTGCCTTAGGGGCTACCTAAGTGCAATTTTACCGAATGGGCTAAACCGTTCCTCAAAAGTTTGAAACCACTCCGGTTTCGAACCGACTCAGTTTTGACTTTCGGGTGGGAAGTCGGAGGGCGGAAGTCTCGTCGTCGGTCACCCATATAAAAATTCGTTAAAAAGTCATACCATTTAACTTCTTTGTCTTTCTCGATTGCTACTTTTGTTTCCTTTTAAGTATGTTTTTGACTTCTTTTGATTTGTCGATTTCTTTGGAAACAGTGCAAATTGAATTTTCTGCTCCGTGAAGTTTTTGAATGTTACTCTGGTTTTATGTTTAGTGCGTGCCACTGTGATGCGTCGGTGATCTGCCGAGGGGGAATGCATTCGTCCACGCATCATGGCGCATTCCGGGAGGTCTTTTATGAGAAACTGGTCCCTATTTAGGCGTTATCGACATGAAGAAAACCTGAAAAACTTTGCTCGGCCTGCCCGTTGGCGGGTTACGAACTTGTCGTCGGCTGCTGGCATTTGGTGGTTTTATTCGCTTGGATGCCGGTGGGTCCAAACTTTAATTTCTGAGAACCGTTTATTGTGGGATATTTTGCTTGCAGTAAACTGTTTTAGTTAGTCGTGTGACTGTATCTCCAATGTATAAGGACGGCAAGCGATGGTATGATTTTTCTTGGCTGGACATATTTTCTGGATGCAAATATTGTATTTGGATGAGAAAAATCATGTTTTGTGCTGTCCTTATACTTTTAGACATGTCTTAGAAATTGACTTTTGTCATTTTTTATGATCTCTTGCAAGCTGTAAATATTGTGACATTAAAGTGAAATGTCGCTTCTTCAGAACTTTCACATTTCATTTGTTTAAGTACATTTTAGCTATAATTAGAGCTAATACAAAATTGGTGGGGTCTTTATAGTTGAATGGAGTGTACGAACACTTTGTCTTATCCACTTTGAATTACTTTGTTTTAATGCTTTATACATGATGCTCACCTAATTTGATGCATTTAATCAATTCCATTTTTTGTTTGGAGAGAGAGAACAAGCCTGAATCTTTATTTTTGTCTTTCTGGATATGTATTGTCTGTATAAAATGTAAAAAAAAGGAATATTTGCAAGTCAGTAAAAATAGTTACTAGTTTTTTTTCCACCAAAACATTGTAAAATTAAAATTTATTAACAATAGCAATTCTATGCTGCCAAGATATTGCATTTATACTTTTGTTTTTGTCTTTCATTTTCTTTTATTTAATGTTTGACTTTTTGCTATTCATTTTGAAATGTTTGTTAATGTGAATCTTTCTAAAAAGAAACTTAAAGCACAACCTTACTGTATATCATAAAACATATAAATTACCATAACATCACTAATGGATATAAAAGCAGATTGTAAAGCTAATAAAATGTATCTTTTTATTATTATAATTATAATTCATTAGGCAAACACAATTCAAAGAACTATTTAACTTAATTCTAATACTGATTTTGAATTTTAGCAGCAAGATGAATCCAAACAGATTAATTTCCACAAAGTCACCAAAAAAGAGANCAAAGTTTCACGGCAATCGGATAAACGGTGTGGTAATGCATGAAGGACAGACAGACAACACACACACACATACATTCATTTTTATATATATAGATTATACTTTAAATTTTGTTTTGTGTTATTGCATCACTTTACGAAGTGCCTATATACGTAATTGCATCTGTTTTAGTACCTATTTAATTAGTTTCAATCACGACAACAAATGGTATGGATGATTGTTTCTTTTAAACTATTTGATGAAAACTTTACATAAAATTGGGGTTGCATATTCATCAAAAATGATTATTATGTTTTTGACTGGAAATCACTGGATTTATACAATTTTAGTTTAATTAATGACTATAAAACTGACTGCTCGTACAAGTTTGCTTAAAACATGCGACTGAAAAAAAACCAAACTGGCGGTTCAAGAAGTAGGTCACGCGTGTCCTGACCTTCTTTTATAGACCTTGTAATAAACTAGTAGCTAGGGACGCCCCCTAGTAGGCGTTCTTTACAAATTTCCATGAGGCACGGTTCCTTTGACTTTTTTGTTCCTATCAATATACTCTACAGCTCCGTTAAAGTCCCAATGTTAAGATTTGCCCTCCGAATAAAGGGTTGACGATCCCCCAAACTGTAGCCCGCTGTGCGAACAATAAAGTCAAAGGAACCATACCCCTTTTCGAGATATCTCGGGAAGGGATATGGTTCATTAGACATTTATTATTCGCACAGAGGGGTGTCGTCACCCCTTCATTCGGAGGGTAAATCTTACCGTTCCAATCGCGTCATACGGAGCTATATTTCTACCTATTAAACATTCTATAAATACTTTAAAATTGTTTAATTTGTTTATTTACCTTCGCTTGTAAACCTCGATTTTAAATGTAACCGCCATTTTTTAACATATTTCCCGTGAGTCAATGCGCGACGTTCACCGAGTCACGGGATGTTGTAAACGTGTAGCGCAAGGTTAATCGAGGCATATAATAAGACAAGGCAAGACATATAATAATTATTTATACCATTAATTATTTATACCATTTCGTGGTATAAATAATAAATTCATATCAATAATAAATTCCTATTACAGATAAAAATAATTTATTTTTAATTTAAAATCTTCGCTAGGGCGCCTCTAGTGCCCGTTTTTGGCATCCGTTACGCGAACAGACGGATACCCGTTGAATGGGTTATATATACTGTATAGATATTAAAATATTACTTTAACTATTTCAAACCTTATCGTTTTATCGTAGTGGTTCAAACCTATCCGGTTTTTCGTTATTCGCCCCCTAGTGAACATTACAGGCATTCCGTAACAATAATAAATTCCTATTACAAATATACTAAATTATTTATATTGTTATATTGACCAAATAATAATTTATTGGCCAAATGAATAATAATAATTTATATTCTTAATTTAAATAAGAATTAAAATTGTTAATTTGAATGTTTGAAATATGACACACGATAGGGGCGCCTCTAGTGTCCGTTATCAAACAGTTACAGGATAGACGGGATACTTGTTGAATGGGTTAAATGAAGGTCATCGGTATCGAAATTTCATAACTTTAAACCAGGTGATCCTATAATCCAATACACCCCATTCTTAATCGCATTATCACAAAATACAGTCGATCCCCCTATAAGACGGTAGATACGTTCCGTTCTTTATGAATCCGATTTTGTAGGAATCACAGCCAATCACAGCCCGACACGTGTGAAGTTTAC